GGTGGAGAGGGGTGAGGAGAAAGAAAAAGAGGAGGAGGAGGAGGAGGAGGAACCAATCCGCGCGCGCACGCCAGCCACCACAGACGGCCTCCCCTCCCCGCCTCTTCCTCGTAGTTGGCGTCGTGCCCTCTCGCCCTTTTTCTTCTCCCTCTTCACGTCCTCGTTTTTTTGCTCTGCCTCCCCCCCGGGCGCTTCCGGGCGGGAGGGGATCGAGGGCCACAGCTCTCCGGAGACTGGAGGGTCCGCAGCTCGAAGTTGGGCGCTCGCGGGGGAGCTTTGCTGCTGGCCGTGACGACGTGTGACATATTCCAGGGGAAAAATCGACAGAACAGAGGAAGACAAATGGGGGAGGAGGGGGAGGAGAGGGGGAAAGAGGAGGAGGAGGAGGAGGAGGGGGAGGAGGAGGAGGAGGAGGAGGAGGAGGAGGAGGAGGAGGAGGAGGAGGGGAAAAATCGACGAGGTGAGCAGCGGCGGAAGACAAATGGGCCGTCCGTGCCGACAGTGGCGTGCACGTTGCCCGAAGAAAAGCCGCGCGCGAGTGCCCTCGTCTCCAATGTAGCATGCCGCGCCGGCGGCCCGCGCAAGCCACCGCGTGAGGTCGATGCAGTCGGGGCCCTGAAGAAGGCACCCTTTTCGTTGGGGAGGGGCTCGGGGTTCCTTGATTGGGCTGCAGTTTGCCTTCTGTCTTCCTGGGGTCTTCCACGGGACATCGAAGTTCAACTTGTGGGAGAAAGGGGCCCCGTTCCTTATTTAGGGTTCCTTATGTCAACGCCCCGACTGCACAGTCGGGGCGTTGACCTAAGGAACCCTAAATAAGGAATGAGGCCTCTTTTTCTCATAAGTTAAGCATCGATGTCCCATGGAAAACCTCAGGAAGACCTGATGCAAACTGTTAGACAATCAGGGAACACCGAGCCCCTCCCCCAACGAAAAGGGTTCCTTATGTCAGCGCCCCGACTGCATGTCACCTCGCGTTTTGTTCGCCGAGGTTGCCTTCTTGGGGGGGTCTGGCTCGTCTCGTCTTGGCACGTCCTGGGGGGGGCTACTTTTTGATGGAGGTCGCCCCAGACGGGGGGGGGTCTAAAATGGCTCGTCTGGGAGGTTTGTGACCCCCTCCCCCTTTTACTACAAAAGTTGGAGTAGTGAACCTCTCTCCTCTCGTCGCTCAGGCCTGGGCCCTCCGCCGCCTCCCGCAGCCTCGGCCCGCCGCCCCCGCGCCCCCCCCGGGCGCGGCCGAGGCGTCGAGCCCGGGCCCCGCCACGGTGTACCAGTAGCCCCGCGGCGAGGAGCGCGCTGCCGGCCGCCGCCGCCGGCTGGGAGGGCGTGGCTCGCCCTCGAGGGGCAGGATCGTCGTCGTCGTCCTCGTCGTCGCCGGCAGCAGCAGAAGCACCACCACCACCACCACCATCACCACCACCACTATCAGCATCAGCAGCATCATCATCAGCAGCATCATCATCATCATTATCACCATCATCATCAGCATCATCATCATTTTAAATTGCTAATGTATGTGTGGACGGCTCGACAACATAGAGTTATACCCAGGTCGCTACTATCGATTACATTCATTGACGATTCCAACTCGACCCTGTGGGACATGGCAGGCATCCGCGAGTCTCTCCGACAGTCTTTGCTTTTTGACAGGTCTCGGGACAGGAGCTTCACCTCGGCAAGCTGGTAGCTTGGACTACGAAGGAGGAGATGGTGCAGGAGTTGGAGGCCACACAGGTGCAGGGTTTCAACCTCCCTGTCAAGCGCGCCTTCAGGCTCGTCGGCAGCCACATCGTTACCAGAGGCGAGGACGACACTACGCTCATGGACGCACATTTCCAAGACGCGGTACACTGACTTCGTCGAGTCCAACGGCTGCCTGTTCCTCTACACAAACAAGCACATGTTGCCCAAGCATTGGCGGCCTCGATGATCGCAGTCGGAGCTGACTTAGGGCCGTCAAACAAGATCAAGATGCATTACCACTACCAGGCTGTGTTCGCAACACTTATGCTGAGAGGAAGGCAGTGGACTTGCCAGTGGATCGTGTTGGGGGCCGTACTGAAAGGGCATATCATCTTTCACCCATGCGCCATCAGCCATCGTGAAGCAATGTTATCGGTGCGACGCCAAGTGCTGCGAGTCCCTCAACTACGTGCCTACGTCGCCGACCTTCGGGACTGCATCCAGGACGTGGGGACCGCTCACCCTGGGCCTGCACGCAACTTCATCAAGGCGCTAGGGCAGCTGAGATGGAGGTGGCCAGATTTCGACACGCTCGAGACCGAGACCGACCTTGGCACGCAGATAAAGTGGCTGGAGGGGCATACCGACTTCCTCATGCATCATCTTCGTGTTTCACAGAGGCGATGGTTCTTCCGACGAGTTCCAACAACGCGCCATGATTTGGGAGACGTTTCGCAGCAAACATATGGACTGGACATGGTGGCAAATACTTGGCTACTGCAATCCAAGAGCAAGAACTGGATATTGACAAATTGGCAGAGAGGCTTCCTATCGGCATGTATGGCTGGAGGAAACCACACACAGCAGAGGCTACAGCGATCGGTAATATCAGAAGATGACGACGCTAAATGCTGATTTTGTGATCGTGAGCAAGAAGCGCAATAACATATATGTTGGACGTGCCCGTGCTGGAAGGCTGAGCTGGAGGCCCTGCTCCTTCTGCCTCAAGCCCAGGAAGCTGAACGTGAACAGTGGCCGCCATCGACCAGACACTGTGGCCTCACGTTTATGGACCACGAGGCCATCAAGCTCTACGACGACATGGTCGCCGAGCCAGAACCCCCGCAGCGTCGCCCCCCGCCTGGGTTGGACGGGGACCTCGCGGAGAACCAGGTCAACTACGTGATCGACGACCACGGCAAGCGCTGGATGGCTGTCGCGACCGACGGCGCATGCCGCTTCCCCAAGAACCCGTGGCTCGGGCGGGCGGGCTACACTATCTATGTCGCCCCTCGGCACAGGCTCAACTTTGCGGCGAAGTTGGCTGGCCCCCGCCAGAGTAGCGCACGAGCGGAGGCAACAGCATTGCTCCACTTCGTGCGTATGGCGGAAGTGCCTATGTGCATCTTCTGCGACAGCGAGCAGTGCGTGAAAGAGTTTCAGAGTGTGTTGGATGGAGGAGCCCCACCGACAAGCAGCCGGCACGAAGTTTGGCAGCAGATTCAGACCGCGCTCGAGATCAAGAACGACATGGCGTCCGGGCGAAGACGGTGCGGACCGCGGGGCCGTCTCGCCCCTTGCCGAAGAAATGAAAAAGAAGTGGCCCAGCTTGCCGCTGATGCCGCCAAGTTGCACCCCCTCCCGACCTCAGTACTTGACAGAGCCGGAGACCATTTTTCCTTGACCTCCATCATGCACAAAACCATTGTATATATCCCAGAGAAGCGAGCCCTCACCCGACCCCTGCCCCATCGGTCCGCGGGGTTCACTGAGGCCCACCTCGCTCGTCTCGTTCCTTTGACCTCTGTCCCTCTCCTGCCTTCTCCTCCTTCCCCTCCCCCGACTGGTGGAAATGTGGGGTCGAGGGCGAGCTCGATGATGAGGCCGATGTTGATGTGTTTGGATTTGGCTTAGAGCTTGGTTAGCCGTCTTTAATCAATCCCGTAGGCGACTATCGTGAATAGTGCCCCGTAATGCCCCGAGGCTAAGAGGCCCACAGTCTCCGTCTCGGTCTATTGTGCTGCGAGGTCCGTCATCAGAGTTCTGAACAGGGGTAATGCCCTTTCTGGTGCAGCTGTTGCAAATGATTGTGCAGGT